TAATTTACCCTTTGTGGGCTTAATCAAAATGCATCCTTATCTTTGCGTCCCCTGTCCTCTCTAAATGGCTGATTGAATGATATGTAGGCCTCTATGAAAGTAATAATTTAATGTCAATTTTCTACAAACGCAGGAATTTAATGCAAAGCTCTCAGACTTTGGCTTTGCCAAAGCAGGGCCCACCGGCGACCGTACTCATGTTTCCACTCAAGTCCTTGGTACTCATGGTTATGCTGCTCCTGAATATATTCTCACAGGTCTGGTTTCTCAGTCAGTTTTACTCGCATACTTCTTTGGTCCATGAACATGTATGATTCAATCGCCTTCCTCACTTGCATTTCTTTCGAATTCCTTTGGTTCTTGTTATAAATATTTGAAACCAAGCCAGTGTTTTGCATGCATGTCACCCCAAGATACTTGTTGACATGGGGATGAATGGAAAATTCTTTAAGGCTTGAATTGGAAACAAGCAAAAATTGAACTTCTTTGCATGTTTCCCAGTATATGACGGCCACTTCAATCCTTAAGATTGATGTGTGCTTAATATCAAGATTCCTTTAGAACTGCTTGTTCCAGAAGCCTAATGTAGCCTGGATTCTGACCTGAATTGTCCCCTGCTTTTTATATGGAATGGCTTACTATCATTGATCTCTAAATTATGAGCAGGTTGGTTGACTGCAAAGTGTGATGTCTATAGCTTTGGGGTTGTGCTATTGGAATTACTATCAGGACGGCGTGCCATTGATCGAACGAAATCCGGAGTTGAACAGAATCTGGTGGATTGGGCAAGACCTTATTTGGGTGATAGGAGGAAGTTATTCCGGATTATGGACACCAAGTTAGAAGGGCAATATCCACAGAGGGCAGCCTATACAGCTGCAATTCTTGCTTTACAGTGCATTAGTGAGGCCAAAATCAGACCCCAGATGTCTGAAGTTCTGGCCACTCTAGAACAGCTTCAACTTGGCAGAACTTCAGCGAGTTCATCATCTAGATCTATCGCAGAAAGGAGCCCCTCCTCAAGCCCTGTGGTAGAGCGAGGTCATAAAGACACATCCTCTTTGAGACATAATCATCATTCAACAGAGACAGTGTCTATCTCCGTTCTCTTAAGTGAGACCACTACGAGATCCCCCTTGGCATCCCCTGTGAGATATTGAGATTAAAAATATAATATCCGATCATCATACATTGTGCATCTTGTTTTATGAATAGTTTACAGCTGAGAGAGCACAAACACTTAATTTAACCGTTTAAAAATTAAACTTGTTTCTCAACATGAATTTAAATAATACAGAAACAATAATATATATGGCTCAACCTTAACATACACACACAGGCGAGCATAGTAAAAGATGAAGCATCTTGTCATCTTGAAAGCTCAAGGATGTTAAAATTGATGAACCTAAAAGAAGCATTCAAATACTACTTTTCATTGCAGTAATAGCTGCGTATCTGTATCTGAGCTTTGTACGGCGATGTGAAAAGAACGTTTTGCTATTGCTTGTGATAGTACGAATACTAATGTCCCGTGATTTCAATTTGGTGACCAGGTGCACAACAGGGAAACAGAGGAAAGACAAAACATAAATATTAAAATTGATGGTGAAATATTCACCAAAAAAAAAAAATGATGGTGAAATACACACAAAGAACTTATTCACGAAATTAAACAAATGGGGAAGATTAATCAAAGATGTAGTAAAAGCGGTTCTCTGTTTGGTGCTTCATTAATTTATTATTTTCATGTTCACCCTTTAGAAAAATTAAGTTAAATCTTAAAAACTTTTATATTTTTCCTTTTCAAAAATTAAAATATTGGGAATAAAAAGTTTAGGTAATTCGATTTTAATTTCAAAATATTAAGTTAAAAAAGTCATACATATCAGCACAATTTCCAAAGACATTAAATCAGAGCCAGTTTAGGAGTAGATACATTTGTATCTCTGCAAATAACAGAAATATGCATGATACTCAAATACTATCTATTATATATTATATATGAACACGAGTAATTAGATATTACTAAATATAATTATATGTATCATAATTATATCTTAATAATTTTATATTTGTTTTAATTATATAGTTATAATTAATACATATTATACTTATAAATGTTATATAACTAATAATTAAAAATATAAAATAATTACATTCATATATGGTATTTTTCTAGGAAAAATAATTAATCAATCTGAAATAAGTATTCAGATAGTACATATTCATATTTTGTACTACCAAATAAAAAGAAGGGGATGGTATGCATATATTTGCATAATCCTAATTACGGGGAAACGTAAGCAAAGAAAATGGGGGAAAAAATCCTAAACTACAAGACCTAAAAAGAATTATAATCCAACTACTTAATACCAAAATAAACCGAACAAAAAAATTTCTAATAACATGATCATCTACTCAGCAGTGAATCTGTAAACCATGAAGTGCTTGTATATCTCTCCTGGTTTAACAATCTGTGATGGGAAATTTGGGAGGTTCACCGAATCTGGAAAGCCCTGTGTCTCCAACGCAATAGCAGCATACTTGCGGTAAATAGCTCCATCCTTACCTTTCTCATTCTTCAACATATTGCTAGAATAAAACTGTACACCAGGTTTGTTTGACCATAGTTCCATCTTCCTCCCAGAAACCGAGTCCTTCACCACAGCCACTCTATTGAAATGCTTTGACTCATTCTTGTCAAGCACATAGTTTATGTCATAGCCCTCAGGGAGATCATGAATCTGACTGCCAATCTCTTTAGGTTCAAGGAAGTCATATGGGGTTCCCTTAACTTCCTTGAAGTGACCTGTGGGGATGAGTTGGTCGTTTACTGGTGTGATTTTTGAACCAAATAGTTGAATGGTATGTGAGAGAATGTCTCCACTATTATGGCCCCTCAGGTTCCAGTAAGTATGTTGAGCAAGATTCACTGGTGTGGCTTTGTCAATGGGCTTGGCTTGCATCATTACAATGAATTTGTTTGTTTGGAAAAAAGCATAAGTCACAGAAACCTCAAGTTTTCCCGGAAAGCCTAAAGATGAGGGTTAAAAGTTTAATATCAAAGTTATAATCACAAAAAACTGAGGTGTTTAGATCAAATAATCAAACTGGTTAGGATAAGAAGTACCTTCATCGCCGTCGGGACTGAAATGGGTAAATGTGATATGACTGTCTTCTCTGTGGGATGCTACATTCCATACAACTTGACTGTAACCCTTAGGTCCTCCTGATATTTCATTCATGGAAGTCAGAGATAGTGAAATTATTAATAATGAGAGGATAAATGCTGATTATGATTAATATACCGTGGAGTGTGTTATTTCCATCATTAGCAGGCAAATGGTAGGTTTTTCCATCCAAAGAGAATTTAGCTCCTCCAATTCTATTGGCCACTCGTCCAACAAGTGCACCAAAATATGTTGTATCGTTCTGCAACATTGGTCACAAAATTCTCAGTAAAATTTTGATCTACTACGATTGCATGCATAGATAAACGATTTGCTTCTTTTGTTAGTGTCCAAAAGCCAAACAAACAAAATAGATTCAAAAGAAATAGTTCAGTCATACATTGTAATCCTTAACAGAATCGTAGCCAAGGACAATATCAGCTAAGTTTCCTGAAGAAAGAAACACAACAAAAAGAGTTTTAAGAATACAACAACAACAATGAAAGAGAATTAATATAAACGCAAGAACAGAAAACAAACCATCTTTATCTGGTACAATAAAAGACATAATAGTTGCACCAAAGTTAGTCAACTTGACTTGGAAATTTCCTCTCTCGAGGAAATAAGTTCCAATCTTGGGTTGCTCTGCATGAGCAAGAGAGGAGAGCACAAGGCCCAGGAAAACGCAACAGAGAAGTGAAGCCTTAGACATTGTTATTTTAGAAGAAAACGAAAGAAATAAAGCTAAGCTCAGAGGACTCTATGTCACAGCAAAAAGAATAAAACCTCATCTCATTTATATAGATACAAGAGCCGTAAGCAATAATGCTTAAAGATCTAACAGATATTTTTGATGAATATCCCCTTCATAATCTGTAAGATTATTCGGTTAGGATAGGCTTTCTCTAGTACTAAGAATCAATCTATATCATCTATATAAACCATGATAGATAAACGTATATTTTTCCTCTCCTTCTGTATAAAAAAACATATTTTTATTTATTAATTCATGTACTTTTAATATTAGAAACACGGTATTTACTTTAAATTTGCATTTCATTCATATTTTTATTTCTAAAATAAAATTAATTATGAGCCTAGTTGATTGGTTAAAAAATTTATTTAGCATATCTTAGTATCTAATCTACTTATACTCTATTTGACTTATTTAAATTTAAATTGTTGTTTATTAATTTTTATACCAACAATATATTTATATCACCTTATATCTTTGTATTCTTATTATCTGATGTGATTATTTTAAAAGCTGTTCAGAATAACTTATTAAAATAATTAGAAATCGATTTTTTTTAGATTCTAATTATTTTTAAAAGTTTAAGCAAATAGTTGGATATTCAATTCTCATGCTGGTCAAAAAAAAAAAAGATATTCAATTCTTATCAAGATGGATGTATCCTAAATTTCTACCGGTGTTAATTGATTGCTTTATATATATATATATATATTGATTGGATACTTCGAATGGTATCATTATCATTATATCGTAAATGTATTTAAGACTGATTAATTAAATTTTTCGTTCGTATTTTTTGTGATTACGAATAACACAATTATTCAAATCTAAATAGGATATAACATACCAATGATAATGTCTTTCTCGGTATAAGCACGATACATTCGCTAAGTCTCTGCCATCCACAAGCCTATAGATAACAATTAACACTGCTCTTGTATATATTCCTTCTTCATTAAATTTCTGTTTAACCAAAATTTCAAGAACATTAAAGTATCTATAAATTAAATTTGCTCATATTCACCAGGCCCCAAAAAAACGCAAATACGCGAAATTGACGTCGATTAATTTCAACAGCTAAAAAAGCCTCTTGATCGTAACTGTTAATCACATCTCACATGCACAGACATAGCGAACAATGGAAGTAACACATCTTAGGCGACCTTGTGCAGAAGTAGACCACACATACAAAGAATTGCGACAGATCAGTAACATTTGTGTCCTTCAAACTAAAAGTAGAGGACTAAGATAAGTTATGTTCTACTCAGCAGTGAATCTGTAAACCATGAAGTGCTTATATATCTGACCAGGATACACAATTTGTGATGGGAAATTTGGATGATTCACAGAATCTGGAAAACCTTGTGTTTCCAAGCAAAGAGCACCAAACCGGTGATATATGAATCCACCTTTGCCTTTCACATCTTTCAACATGTTACCGGTATAGAATTGTACCCCAGGTTGGTTTGACCATAGTTCCATCTTCCTCCCAGAGACTGAGTCCTTTACCACAGCCACTCTACGGAAGTGCTTGGAATTATTCCCATTCTCGTCCACCACGTAGTTTATGTCATAGCCATTAGGCAGTTTATGAATTTGACTTGCAATTTCCTTAGGTTTAAGGAAGTCATATGGGGTTCCCTTCACTGGCTTGATCTCACCTGTAGGAATGAGTTCCTCATTGACAGGTGTGATTTGTGAACCAAATAGCTGAATTGTGTGTGAGAGAATGTCTCCACTGTCATGGCCCCTCAAGTTCCAGTAACCGTGCTGAGCTAGATTCACTGGTGTGGCTTTGTCAATGGGCTTTGCTTTCATCTTCACTATCAACTTGTTGGTTTGAAAGAACATGTATGTAACAACAACCTTAAGTTTTCCCGGAAACCCTAGGAATTGTAAATATTGTCAGAGAGAGACAGACAAATACTTTTTTTTTTTGTTACATGTAAACCAAGAATGAAAGTACCTTGTTCTTTGTCAGAACTGACATAGCTAAATGTGATGTGACTGTCTACTTTGTGGGAAGTTACGTTCCATATAACTTCGCTGAAACCTTTGGGACCACCTAATATTAAGTCAACATGGAACAAAGTTATATTAGATGGTGGGTTAAAAATAACAACTTGGTTGGAATTAAATGCTTAGCATATACCGTGAAGAGTGTTGTTTCCATCATTTGCAGGCAAATGGTAGGTTTTGCCATTTAAAGTAAAGTGAGCTCCTCCAATTCTATTAGCCACACGTCCAATAAGGGCACCAGAGTATACTGTATCATTCTGCAACATATCAAATTAAACCACAAATTAAATATAAAGTTATTTTGATTGACATGGATGTGAATGTAACTTTAGTATAACTACTAAGGTAGTAGTTGGTGGTGAAAAATTCATTTCTTATACCAAAGTTACATTCACATCCATGTCAATCAAAATAACTTTAGTTGGTGGTGAAAAATTCATTTCTTTTCAACTCTCTTACCAGAATTATTCGATCTACTATGGAGCTAATTGACCTATTAAAAGAGAGTAAAATTTGAATGCAAAAGTTTGATGCTGCTGCTACTAGCAGAGGTCGATCGGCTTAAAGATGATAAGTTTTAATTCTAGTTAAAGCAAAAAAAATAAAAAATAAAAGAAATAAAAGACAAGAAGAGAAAAATCAGTGAAGGACATACAACCAACCCCAAGAAAACAATCCTTCTGAATCTTAATATATATGTTCTAAAAAGCCCCTCCATTTCAAAAGCTCGACACAGACAAAACTGAACCCAATCTTCCCTCCCATTCATCATACCTTGTACGAGTCAACTGAATCAAAGCCAAGGACAATATTGGCCAATTTTCCTGGAGAAACAAACGCAACAGAAAACATTTGAAGATTATACGACAAACCAAAACATAATCTTTATCATAAAAATGGAAAGAGGAGCAAGGACGAAGCTATATGAAAGACAAACCATGCCTATCAGGGACCATTAAAGACATAATTGTAGCGCCATAGTTTGTTAACTTGATCTGGAACTGTCCTCTCCTCAGCTCATAAATTCCCACCTTGCCACTTTCTGCATCAACTCCGAAAAGAAACACAAGCCCCAGAAGAATGCAGAAAGCCAACGATGGTTTAGACATGGTGAAATGGGTCACAGAGAATTACTGTTAACAATATTCCAGTGCAAATAATGAAAGCCAGAAGCACGTGAATATATGGAAGGCTCAAGATAAAAATAACTGGTTTTCATTATTCAAGGATTTTGATTGTACCGTTTTGGAAACCAAAAAAAAAAAAAAGAATCTAGCTAACTCTGACTGTACTTCTGTTCGGATAGGATTTTGGGCTCTTATCGTTATCTAATTACGCTTGTGTATATAGGAATCTCATCAAGGTTTGAACTTTGAAGAACCTGATATTTTTATTCCACAATTTTGCTGATTGATGCAAATCAGCAAATTAATGATTATAACTTTCACCCATCATAATAGTGAATGGATAGTGCTTGGTTCTGTTGACCTTAATGGATTGTGCTTTTTGGGGCTTGGGAAAGATCACGGGTAGAATGTAAATGTAATATAAATATAAGAGCTAGTTTGACTTTTAATTTGATCATAAATATAAGATTACAATCCACTATGTCTCTCATATTTATCTTTTTTTTTTTTTAAGTAATACTTGTAGCAGTTTCACATATTAAAAATTCCATCAAATAATCCTCTGGTCTTTAATATAGGACTCAATTCTTGAGTTAGTTTTGGTCCTAAATATAAGACCAATTTATCATATTTATCAATTTTCTCTAAATTACCGCTATAGATACTCCCTCAACCATAATCAAGTAGAAGAGGGAGAGGGGATATTAAGAAAGATGATTATGGTGTTTTAGGAAAAATATGTCACTTTTCTTATAATTAACTAATTTACCTAACTTCCTTAATCTAATCAAATTAGATAAATGGCTCTTATATTAAGGACGGGAGGAGTAGTAGTTTTAGCTAATACATATGATTACCAAGAATATTTTAGAGAAAATAACATCTAGTTATTACAAATAACTAACTTAAAAACTTTTTTAATCTACTCAAATTAGTCAATTAGCTTTTATATTTTGGAGCGAAGGTAGTATTAATTATTTCTTCAATATGCAATAATTTGATTTTTAATGTTGCCACTACAACCACCATTCCCACTAGTCCACTACCAACAACAACAAATGATGATAGTTCATGTGAATGAGTCAATTATCATGGTAAGAACGTGATATGGTGAGACTCATTGTTACTTTAGTTAGATGCAGGGGAATTAAGTACCGACATTTTTCTTTAGATAATTCATTATATATAATTGTGATTTATAAATATTTTATTCTGTTATAAATTCCACATTGATATTTCCTATATCCCATTAACGGTCGTTTCCTTGGTAGCATCATAAGGTTTTTTTCTCTTTTCACTGTTTGCACATATTCTTTTTTTTTTCCCCCAAAAAATTAGATGAATAAGCACTAACGGTTTAGAATTTTATGCGAGTTCTGTTTTTTTTTTTTTTTGGGTCTAACAGAATTACATGGGAGTTCACATGAACTTAAAAAGAAAGAAATATTCACATTGTAGTCACCATATAACTCCATCCGGCCAAGAGAAGCAGGACAAGCCATAATAATAACTTAATAAATCATGCAATTAAAGTTTCTTTTTAAAATAATTTGTTAATACACTGTCAACTCTATATCGTTACCACCATCTGTCCATTGTCACTGCCAGTGTAACATCCCTTAGCTATTACTACCTCCGGTCCTAAATATAAGACTTAGTTGATTTATTTGATTAGATTAAGAAAATAAGTTAAATTAATTATTTATAATAAATAGGTATTGTTTTTTCTAAAATATCTTTGCTAATCAAGTTTATTGGCTAGAACTACTATTATCAGAAGGATTATCTTGAAAAAAAATAGATAAATATGATAAATAAAGTGGATTGAAGTCTTATATTTAGAACCAAAATAAAAGTCAAACGAGGTCTTATATTAAGAATCGGAGTTAGTACAATTACTAGGAACGCTATCACTTTTTCTTAAGGAAAAAAAAAAATTAGAGAGAGGAATACCAGAAGCTTGATGTTATAACTGAAATCAGGTCTATGACCTTCTACTTACTATCACTTATAATAAGACTATTACTATTTTCATTGGATATTAATATTACTCATACTACTCAAATTTTTTTCTACTATAATTCACTTAAAAAACTGCGCGTTCAAGAACATAATAATGGAATTTAAGAGGTCACCAACTTATCATTAATGGCAATATCATTTATTTATATAGTAAAATTACCACAAAACTAGTCTAAAATCATATTATAAGTACAAACTTCAACTTAAAAAAAAAAACCTAAAAAGGGAGAATTATAGTGAGGTCCTAGGGAAGCAAAATAATTATTATCAAATCCTGATAACAAGCTAAGTAGCTTGTAATGACAAGTTCCAAAATAAAAAAATGATAACTTTGAGACTTATTTTGTAATTATTTTCTTTCTTTGGACCTCATTATAATTCTCCTTAAAAAAACCTATAAAACAAAGCATAATAGCACTTGACCTACAGGAAGCCATTATATATCAAGATAAAGAGTCCCTCCAGTGGACCCAACCTATATCAAAGATGAATAGATCAAATCAATCATAAATAGACATAATCCACTTAAAAGTGTGTCACATGCGTATATCTCTATTCATGATCAGTTTGACCTATCTGTCTCTTATAATTTGACTATGTGTCTATCTCAGAATTTTCTATCAGTACACTTTGCGTAGCGATTATGACAAAGAGTTGAATGCGTGGGCCTCGCGTGAAACCTTAATGAAGACATCTTCCATTGTGGTGTCTGTTAAACCCCATGCAAACACAGTGAAGTTTCTCTTTGCAAAGCCAATAGCTCGGAAGACATCTGCTATTCTGACCTCTTCTTTCGGCAGCTCAAATTTCTGAGTTCCAGAGATATGGTATGTCTTGCTAGCATTTGGAGACAGCTTGTGCACCAAGTCCTCCACTTCATTCTCATGTTCTATAGATGTTGTCATTGTGAACACATAGCTTCCTCCATATCTTGCTTTAAGCTATCACATACAATTGAAATATCAAGTGTTAGGAAAAATAGCAGTATTGAAAGATCAAGGGAAGTGCAATGCCAGAAGAGGTTCATAAATCACGTTTAGAGCTTGAAACGTGATGCCAACCCGACTTTTCTGTCGCGAAAAGCCACTTTGGCCCAACATGTGATGTTTGGGATGGCTTATGAGAAAATAAGTTCTTGAACCAAAAGTGAAATTAAAGCTAGAATGGCTTTTTCTGACTTTTCCCTTTTTTTTTCAGATTTGAATCTTGTGATTTTTCAATACATCATTTAAATAAGTTTCTATCAAAATGATTTTTTATAAAATCCTATGCAAAGAAAAATCACATTATGATAATTAGCTTTTATCCCAACTTCAGTTTGCAAAAGCTAGTTAAATAAAATCACTTTTGCCAGCGGAAGTAGGGTCCAAACTCCAAAGGCACAAAGACTCAAGTTCTTTAAATTATTCTACTTGCGTCTATGTTATTGGAGACATCTAAAAACCACATCCAAGTTTTTCAGCATCCACAGAATGAAGGTCTTTAGATATGTTGTTGATAAAGCATAACACTTTCATGGTTTTACCTCCTTTGGATTTCCCATGCACTGCCAGCTTCCATCTACGAAAATTCCTATTCGGTCACATAAGACCTCTGCTTCTTCCATGGAATGTGCTGAAATCAAGCAATATAAATACATAAGAAAAAGAAATCACTATTATGCTGTTATGAAGCCTTGGGTAAAGAAAATGAGCAGATATGATTATTAACAATCCTAATATCCTATTACAATGATAGGGAGAAGGAATATACTGGTTAGTATGATTGCCCGATTCTGCTTTGCACGCTTGACAACATTCCATAAATTGTTTCTCGACGCAGGGTCTAATCCAGTACTTGGTTCATCCATATAAACAACCTTAAAAATTTTCCAGCAATTACAGAATGCTTAGCCTAACGTGGAAACATCTCCAACATAGGTTTGGTCGAAGCAGATTGGATTAAGGAGGGATCAATACATACTTTGGGATCTCCAATCAATGAAATTGCAACACTAAGCCTCCTCTTCATTCCTCCACTGTACTTTCCAGCCTTTTTATCGGCAACTCCTCCATGAAAAAGGTTTACACTTTTCAGGGATTCTTCCACTGCCTGCAGCAGCAGAATGCAAGCAAAAAGTTCTTAATTGGCAGAGAAGTGCCAAAGAGAAAGGTTTGACTCTGGACATTCATACTAATGACTGAGAGTTTACAAGCTAAAGTACTGTTCACTTCCTCAAAACCATCATATATGCAAAAAGAAGATATTTACATGAAAATTTGATTTGCATAATCCTATAATAACAAGTCTTCTGAAACACCAATCGCAAACGAACTTACTTGTGTTAAGGCCGAACCTTTAAGATTTTTAAGTCTGCCATAGAAGAGCAGGTGCTCTCTTCCAGTTAGAGTTTCCCAAAGCAAGCTATAATGTCACCCAAAAAAATTAGTAAATGTAATTTTCATTTTAGAAAAATATGAATAAAAGTTGGAGGAAAATTCCGACTTACTCATGCTGTGGACATACGCCCATGCTAGTATATATTTCATCCATCTGAGTTCTAATGTCCAGACCTTGAACAAATGCGGCACCAGAGGTTGGCTTCGTGAGACCAATCATCTGTAACCATATACAATTTATAATGATTGTCAATGGCCAAATCCACCCGAAGGATTAAAACATCTTGGCATCAAAGGGAGATTCAAAGAGAACCGAAATGAACCCATCAGAATTTTCCCTTGGGCATATACATCCAAAATTTCATCTCTAGATACTGACAAATTGGAAGCTCCCTGATTAGTCCCAAAAAAAAAAAAAAAGACAGGAGACTACTCCAAAGGTTTGTTTATATATCTTAAAGAACTTCAATTTAACTGACCATATTGATAAATGAGGTCTTCCCAGCACCGTTGGGGCCCAGCATACCAAAGCATTCCCCTTGAGGCAAAGCAAGAGATAAACCTCTCACTGCATATTTCTCT